GATGATGATTAACTTGCATTTTTTCTTTTTCTTCTATTATATTAAATTGTATATTTTGATTTGGTTATTTACTTTTTCTTTTGATATTATTCTTTCTCTTTCTCCTTCTCTTAATACCCATTATTAGAGGACTTTGTTATGCATAATACTTTCATTTATTTTGTGTTTCATTTAGAAAAAAAAAATTATAAACGGTTTTTTTTCTGTCTGAATATTGCAAATAGAAGATCTGTTAATGAAACCTTTTTTTTTTTGAAAAGGTTAATATTAATTGAAAATTATTGATATTTTTCTAACAGCAAGAAATATTTTATCTTGATAAGAAAAAAAGAAACGTTTAATCGTTTATCGCACTACAATTTTGTATGAACATCTTGACAGAAAAACAAATAAAGGAATTTATTTTCTATGATCCTTGTCATCCAATGGAAAAGAAAGGTCTAGTTATATATGGAGAGTAATCAAATATTCGTACACAAAAATAGAATATAAACAAGTTGTATCGTAGGGTTTGTATTACAGTACCGCAATAAAACAAGTAACGCGTCGGCTCTTTGAGCCTCGCTCAGCTCAATCCTGAAAGCTTGGGACTATGGTGTAGAGCATTGAGTATTTTATAATTAAACATATATTTCTAAATGAATCTGAAATAAAACCAAGCAATTTATTTTGCGAACGGAATTGTTAATAAGTATTAGAGTAAATTTTCTTTACAATAGCATATAGTTTAAAATTCGTTTGTATTTAATATGTATTAATTATATGCTATTATTGGATACTCATGTTGGAAAGCATTTCAAAAAATTCTTTAGTTAAAAATGCTCGATGATACAAATATTTGACACAAAACTTATCCAAGAAGAAAAACATTGATAAGACTTTCTCGAATAATCTAAAATCATATCCGATACGTTTTCTGTGAAAGAGCATAACATGCGGAATAGAAACAGATGCTTTTATTCTATATATATATATGTCATATCGAAGTTGCACCGATCGACGAAGTTATAACTTTGACGATGATCGTCATCGAAGTTACAACTTCGACAATAAAATTTGTCGAAGTTAGTTTTATTTTATTTCTCAATAAATAATTTACTAAAGTCGAATATCGTATTGCTGAATATATGATAAAATTTTTTTTGCCAATAAATACTATTTCTTCAACTATTGAAATTATTCATAAATTACAAGAAAAAAATAATTGTCACGTTAATGTTTCTTGATTTTTCTTTAGATTTATTTTCGATAAATGTATATTTTTCTAAGAAATAAAATAATTTTTCAAAACACACAACGCATTGATAAACTGATGATATTTGAGAATATTGATGCTAATTTACTTCAAGTATCAATCACATTCTATACGTTCGAAACTTATCTCAAGTATAATGATTTTGTCATATTAGATTTCATTCAACAAGTAGTAGCGGTCTAAAAAGTTTTCTTCTATATGACACTCAACATTGAAACTAAGAACGATTGTTTTGGCCTCATTGTCCTTGTGTTAATTTTTTCTTAACTATTCATTGTACGAAGCTTAAAAATCGTGTAATCTGTCAGCTTTTTTATTGTTTTGTCATTTACTTGTTGACATGAATCATAATAGAGAAGAACGACATCCATACCTACAATTGAGATGAATTGATAGGACATAATTACTATAATACTTGCATCATATTCATGGACGTTAGTGACGATGCATTGGACTTTTATCAGAAGAGTTTTCGATACTTTTCATAGAAATCTTCTACTTTTTTTGGAAAGTATAGAACAAAAGTTCAAAGTATAGTCTAATATAGAATTGATTAAAATGCAAAGAGGTCGACTGTGAAGCCAACATATGTCTTTTGTATTTTATTACAAACAGAAAAGATTTTATATGAAGTGAAATTTCGAAGCGCGTATTTCATTAAGAAATTCATGTTAATTTTATTTTCGTAGCTTATTTCGAATTTATCTTTTTTTTTTCAATAAATTAGTGTGACGATTTCATCGACAATAATCAATGTCTAATTCGGAATAGTATTGATAATTCATTGTTCATACCATATTGTACTATTTCAAAAATCTATTCGAAATAAATTTCAAATAAAAGTATTTGATATTTTATTCGTTCAGTTTTATCATTAAAGCTTCATCAGTTGATTTTGCTGATTTCCTGTGATCATAGCCTACTTCGATTTTAACTAATTAAGATTAGTACGTTCTAATTACAATATCGAATAAAAATCTAGTTATCTAACGACAATGATTATCAGAGCATTGTTTTATCGCATAAATTATTAAAAATCATAATGAAAACATTTTAGAAAATACCAAAAGATCATTCTTTAACGATTAAATCACAATTATCATAAATATTTATATTTCATTTTGCTCTATACGATTATTTTTCGACGATTAATATTCATGTATAAATAAATACCGCATCATTTTTAACGAATATATCATCTCATTCTTTAGTAATATGACTTCAACTAAAAGATTTGTTCGTATTAAAGAGAGAGAACTAATATATTTTGAAAAGTAAATCGGATATTCTATAGACATCTTTGTAAAATTCTTTTATCATTCAATACGGTCATATTTTTAAATTTCGAGATAATGAAATTATTTCAGTATTTTACAGAAGCATTAATGATTTAACTTCTTCTCAGAAGTGATTTTCTGTAGTTCAATTATATTGAAAGTTTCTCCACATATGAAATTTATACTGTAAGACAATATGAGAAATGTTTCTTTTAAATATAGAGCCAATTAAAAGAGTTTATGTTTTATAATATATAATCTAAACGAATTTTTTTTTCTCATTTTCTATCATTTGGTTAACTTTCAAACCAATTATATACATATTTTCATGTTGATTGACTTCTAATTATACAATGTTTTTTATTTTATTCTACGTCATTTTCTGGCTTACATCAAAGGTAAAATGAATCGAATTGAAGACTATGATTATACTATAGTTAATTGATACCTTTCTGTTTCTATAACTAAAAGTTATCGTTTCGAACATTTGATTAAAAAATTACATAACTGTTATTTGAAAATTTTCAAAGATATCTTTCACGCGATAGATATCATATGACAACGAGTTTAGAAATCAGAGACCGATATCAAATCGGTTACGGGTGTGATATGAGTGTGCTTATTATGTGTTGATCCGATACATTGAACCTGATAAAGACTATTGCTGCCGATAAGTGAACCCTTAAAAGCCGAAGAATGGAGACAACTATAAATATAGTACTTATTGACTCTCAGTATACTCATCGTATAGTCAGAACACATTACTTTGTTCTTCTTCTAGAATTACATAGAACTCTTTATTGAAAATCTTGGACCTCACAAAAATCTTCAAGAGAAGAATTTTAAACTAAAATTTTTCTCATAACTACTTTTCGTTGCCATCACTTTGGCGTGAAATTTTCAGTCAAAAACACATCTTTTGTTCTTGAGATATTGAATATGGAAGAAATTAGCAAAAAAAAGTCGCTTCTCTTTAGTCTGCTGTATTTCCTAAACTGAAACATATTTGCCATTGAAAATTTTAACATGGTATATACACCACATTAGCTATTTATGCTGCATATCCTCCATATGTTATGTTCTAATGAAAGAGGAATATTATCTCAACCATTTTTTTCATGTGCTAATTGTCAAAAAGTAATGTGAATATAGAAAAATAAAATATATATTTTTTAAAATAAATTGTATTTATTTTTAGTTAGTATTTGATAATTGTTCAATTCAAACAAATTTTAATCAAAATATTGTATCATTATGTAATATTTGTAGTGAAAATCGTCAAATTACTACTTTTTTATCTTATCTAAATAATTAATAATCAATTATTTTATTCTGTTCTAGTTATAGAAAAAATCAGCTGCTTGGTTTTTTCGTTCTTTACCTAAACTTTTGAATCTTACTTTTGATATTAATTCCTCTTCATCATTTCTATCATCATAATATATCAAAACAAGTTAGTTAACAACTATTTATATAGAGTATGTATATATAGTTGTTCATAGGTGATGCTCAATCGATATCTGATCAATCAAGTTCAGATGATAATGATTCGATTACGGATCGATTTAATAAAAAATGTTTATCTCGAAATAGTTTTATTTAAAAAAAAACGAAAAGTATTTTGCTTTAATTTAGTGATATCAAATAATAAAAGTTTAAATCAACTTAAACAATTAAATGATAATCAAGATGAAATAAATAAATGTGATGATGATGATGATAAAAGAATTTATTCATTTAAAAATAATAAACTAACTTCAAAAGGTAGATAGATGTTTATTTCAGTCATTCGTCTTTTTTTTGTTAAAATAGAAATCTTTTTTTTTTAAAGAAGATTCAATTGATACATATTTATCAAAATGTGAATTAGCTAAATCATCAAAAGATTCTCATATAAGATTATCACCAATAAATAAAGATTGTGATTCGAATTTTCATTTTTTCATATGTTTTCAATAAATATATTTATTCGATTTTTAAAGAACTTGGAAGATTAGATTTTGAAATTTTTTGGAAACAATCTGAATATAAATTAATAATAAAATTATTACGATTAGAAAATCTTCGATTAAATAATCAAAATCAATATTCTCATATTTATCTTAAATTAGATCTTCTACCAGCTATTTACAAAGTAAATTTAACTTCATTTACTTTTTAATTTCATCCCATTTAAAAGAAGTTTTATCAGAAAGAATTTTCTTAAAAAAAAACATATTCATTTCGATTTGTTAGCGTTTTTATCAATATAGTATATCAATCTCACTTATTTATGTTATCGTTTCTCGAGATAAATTTATCTAAATAAATTGATATCGAGGGAGATTTTTAGAAAAACTAAATAAAATAAAAGTGTTTCTTTTAATATGTCAATAAATGAAATTTTCAATTAAAATATCTAAATGAATAATTTATGTTCAAATTAAATATATGAATGGATGAGGATAAGTTTGTTTTTGATAATAAATGCATTATTAAATATGATTAGTCAACTGAAATAGAAAGTTGTATGATTGATGAAACACTTGTTTATGATGGTAATCATTAGATGATATCAATTATAAATCAGTTAAGTAAGATAATATTTATTGAAATAAAACTAACAACTTTGTTTTTTAATTTAAAAAAACCAAAAAAAAAAAGATTTTCGGTCTATGATAAAGATTCATCTGTTAATCACTTTCTTGGTGAATTTCGTTTTAAATTATCAACAATTCAATCTGATCAATATCAGATTTATTCGGTTTATTTACAAAATAAAACTGATGTAAGTATTTATTATATATATATATAATATTCATTTATTGTTTTAATTCGTTTTGTGATTAACTACAATCCATTTCAAAATAAAAGGCGAGTCGAATAACTCGAGAACGGAAGCAGCTATGGAAAAATTTCATTGGTCAGTAATGGACCAATAAGATAAAAGTCTGCTGCACATTTTGAAGATAGCTTTTGGAACGCTTTTATCGTTAGATTTTGAATTTCAATTAAACCATTCGATAGAAAAAATTGTTCTCTTTCGATCTACACAAGATCGAGCTCGATAGCTTGCTCTGTTCGGTAGTTATAACCATTTTCCTGAGATCTATGGAATCGGCCACGTGACACGGGATCATCCTTAAAACTATTACATTATAGGTAATCGACCACGCTGAATTCAGTGGTGATGTTTGTTTTTTATTTCAAAGTATTCTGAGATCACAGTATCGAGATTTTTAATATACGTGTTCTTTAAATCAAATAGCAGCAAAAACTAGATTTACGAAAACTTTTGTATAATGATCTTAGGTTACTTTGAAATGAAACACAAATATCACCACTGAATTCAGTATGGTCGATTACCTATAATGTAATGCGTTTAAGGATGATTCCGGATCACCTGGTCGATTTCAGAGATCTTAGGAAAATGCTTATAGCTACGAAATGAAGCAAGCTACCGAGCTCGACCTTGCGTAGATCGAAAGCGAACAATTTTTTCTATCGAATGATTTAATTCAAGTTCAAAATCCAACGAAAAAAGCGTTTCAAAAGCTATCTTCAAAATGTAGAGTGGAGTTTCATTCTATTGGTCCATTACTGACTAATAAAATTTTTCCATAGATTTACGTGCCCCGGTATTCGCTTTTTAATGCTGAAAACTGCAGCTCTATAGTTGCTTCCGTACTCGAGTTATTCGACTCCCCTTCTATTTTGAAATGGATAGGAGATATAATGAAACATATGTTGAA